AGGAGAGGGGAGCCCTGAGGGCTGAGGTGAGGATTTCGCATTTTATCCTAAGAGCGCTCTGCCAGCTGTGTGGGAAAGGGCCTTTGGGGGAGCAGGAGCAGAGGCAGAGGTGCCAGAGAGGCTGTGGCGTAGTCAGTCAGTGGGAAGTGATGGCAGCTTGGGCCAGTCTGGATGATGGGAGAGAAGGATGGACTCGGGTCTGCTGTGGGGAGAGTCACCAGACGGCGTGGAGTGGTGCATTGGACATTCGGAGTGAGGGAGAGGGTGGGTGAGGGGCCCCGTTGATGTTTTGGTTTGAGCCGTTGGATGGAAGCCAGTGCCTTTCACTGAGATGCGGTTGCATCCCTGTTCTGATACATATTCTAGGGTCCCACTTTGTTGACATCAGTCTTGGATGTATGGCTTGATTTGGCCAGTAAAATGTGAGCAGAAGTGACACGCGTCACTCCTGGGCAGGAGCTCTAAGGGTCATTGTGTGGTTTGGTCAAGTCTCTTTCCTCTGAGATTGGCAGAGTCTCACTTAAGGGCTGTTCCGTCACCTGGGAGCGAAGCTGGCATGAGCAGGGCCGTGGCCAAGCCGTGATGGACCTGCAGTGTGGACGAGAAACAGACCTCCGTTGTGTAAGCCCCTGAGCACTTGGGGCCCCTCGTCACCGTGGCATAGCTTAGCCCATTCTGACTCTCCTGAGAAGGAGCGAGTTTTGTGGATGGGGAGATCAAGAGTTCAGGCGGGAATGCTCAGTTTGCAGATGCATCTGTGGTGACATCAGGTATGCAGGTAGGAACCTGAGTTTGGAACTCAGCAGAGTAGTCACATCCGGAGATGTCGTACTGTGTGTCACCAATGAGGAAAATGAGGAGAGAGGGCCAGGACCTTGGCTGGTGCTTGAACTCAGGGCTGCCTGACTTCAAGAACGAAGCAGCTGGGTCAGTCCCAGCTCTGCCACTGTGTAGCCATATGGCCTTGGACACATTACCTTATCTCTCGTGCCTCAGTTTCTTCACATGTAAAATGAGAAATAACAAATGTAAAGAGCTCAAAAAAAGACATAGACCATACAGAAGGATCCTCTCCATGGGACCTACTGTTATAGATGTAGCTTTCTTGTTATTTATTTATTTATTCATTCATA